GCTCTTCTTTGCCCGTGATCTCCAGGTTTGGAGAGTCAATGAAGCCTAAAATGCGTATCCTTGCCTTTTGTAGAAGGAGTGCAGTCCTCTTGATTTGATAGTGTGCTATTCTGAAAATGTTACTGTGCCTGTTCCTTAGCATCACACAAATTATTTATTCAGACTGTACGTAGTCTCATAGGAAATGTCCTCTGAATTTTAACTATCAGTTGTTGGTTGTTTATTATGTAAACATTTATTAATCTGTCCCCATTTTTTGTGGCAACCACTTAAAATACAAGGATTTTGTTCTGATATGCAAAAGCATGTTGTAAGAGAAAAATCCTGTAACTGCTTTAAAAATGTTAATTTCAACAGAAAAATAAAAGGTTTGCTAAATAGGAAAGGGAAAAAGTCCTCTAGGGAGAAAAAAATGTCTTTTATTGGTGTGGTGGTTTTTTTTGTTTGTTCAGAAGCCTTGCTTTTACAGCCAGGCAGGTGAATTAGCTAAAGGCTGTGGTATCTTGCAATTGCATCAAAAGTCAGTGCAGTCCCTGCAAAAGGAGAAGGATAGTTTACACTGTTCAGACCCACTGGGTCTCTTTGATGGACATGTCTGTCCCAGTACTTAAAACACTGGAAAGAGAGGGAGGACAGTGGTGTTGATGTTTATTTAGATGTATAGATGTATAAATTTAGAAAAATAAACCAGCCGAAATACAGGAAAACCTTTTGAAGTCAGAGTGTCATTATATTTTCTAATTTCCAGTTCTGTTTTCATGCCAGAATAAGGGGTAAGGAGCCAATGAGAAGTAATACAAAATAGTGTTGCTAGTAGCACCTAATTTTTTGTTGAGGAATCTTGGAATACACTGATCTCTGCAACTCAGTAAGGTGTCCCTCAAAGCTCAAACACCGAAGAAAGCTGACTTGCCATTGTTTAGGAAGAGCATTCTATGTCCCTTTCAAAAACTGCTTTTAAGCTTCAAAGAAAGCACTAGAAACAGTGTGGAGTAACACAAAAGCAATTAGTAGCCAATAAAAGCAAAAAGGTGTATTTTCTTACAAAACTTTTACATTTTTGTAGTCAGAGATTGTCTTGATTTTTTTTTGCATATTACCATATAAACATAAGCACAAATATACTAAGCTTTTTTAAAACATAAGATTTAATTAGCCAGAGCACTGAGTTAGTATTGCTGCCCAACAATCCTGTAGGGATCACACTTTGTTTACTCAGATATTGGCCTTTCACCTGTGATGGCCAGAAACCATAAGTTGTTTTCTAAATTCAGCTTACCTTTTCAGTTCCTTCCGGTCATGCTACCAGGTTTTGTATTTTTTTTCTATAAAAATCAAACACTGTAAATAATGCAGTAGCACTGAAAGTATTGTACGTGTTCATACTTAGTTTTAGAGTAGTAAAGTGACATATGAGTTCTGTAAATTGCATTTTGTAATTAAATCTTTTAGTACTCTATTTTTATGTCACTGAAAGTATTTTAGTAACACTACAAATTCTTCTTCTTCCAAAAAATAATAAAATATTTATTCGGTCAAAGACATTCTGAACTGACTAGGGTATCTATCTGTAGAAGTGTGGAATCTTTTGTTTCCGTTCTAGGGATGGCTGTGTATTTTCTTTTTTCCCCTTGTACTTGCAGGATGGAGGAGGGAGGAGAAACTGTGGTGCCCTCCTCACCTCTTGCTTGGGACTGGTACTAAATAGAACACAAGGGAATGTGGCTGGATGACACCATTTTACTTCTCTTTTAGCCACTGCTTACAGGAATGACCTCACCCTGTTTTTAGCAAAATTGCTTATAGCTCTAAGAGAGGTAGCAGAAGCTTAGCATAATCACTTCTTTTCATAATACAGACTTGTCATTCCACTCATGTTTACCTTTTTGTGTCCATGTATTGTAACTGGACCGTAAGCATTTAACTTGAGTTTGTGAGTTCTTTGTGAACAGTGTCTAAAACATATTCTCTCCTTATACTGCTGGATCCTGTTTAAATGTAGCCTCAAGTGGTTTTTCCAATCACAGAGGACTTTCATACGTCAAGAAGTCAGTCTAAGTCTCTAAGGTCCCAGTGTAGTGTCTTGATTCCTGTACAAGCACTGCATGTTTCCAAAAGCAACCAGTCTGCATGGTCTAACCTTAGTTCTGGCATTCTCTGGCTTGTTAGTGTCCTCATTTTGCTATACTGGTTTACTGTTTTAAATC